TTTTATATATTCATTATAAATCATGTTATATATATACATGTATTCAAAATGGTTGATTTTGAATGCTGTTCCAGAGCAATATCTCTCAATATGGACAAGTACTTGTTTGACGATCAGATACAAATGTCAATCATTTTAATGTTAAAAAAATCATATTTCTGACATGGTTATATTCCAGCTATATTACTATAAACAAAACTATATATCTTAAATTTGATAACTAACAGGAACTGTGCCATGCATGGCTTGTCATTTTTGTTTTCAGTTTGTCATTGAAGTTATTATACTGTCTCTTGGCCCTCTTAAAAAGTCATACTGCATATATTGATGTTTTCATGTGATGTATGATAAAACTTTGTGGTGTTATCCTTAGAAAAAATAGTTTATTATTATTATGCCTACTCTTTTCAGGAATGAATGATTCAGAAACCAGAGATGTGTTTAGAGGTGACCAATACTTGACATCCAAGGAGTGGTTGTCTAAGCATGGCCTGGATGCAAAGAAACTGGGATTTTTTGATGTCCTAGCGGGTGTTGCATTCAAACACTGCGATGGCGTAGTAGACGTCAAGAGACCACCAGATGAGGAAGTCACAGATGCCGTAAGTTTAATGTTTTCTTGATGTGATGTAACATTTAACTGTTATTGTTAATCAGTGTACATTACGTCATCGGCTTATATGATGTCAAATTACAATAATTCTACATATTTCATGAAAATGATTGAAAACTGTCTCAACAAATTCAGAGAGAAAAATCTGTCAATCTAAAAATTGAAAGCTTTGGTTGCATACGTTTTTTGGGTTTAGTTTGCATGGTTTCAATGATTCATATTATTTTTCACGAAAGATAATTTTTTGCAAATTTAAGGTTTCTTGATTTTTCAAAAATTGATAAAACGTTCACTTTAGACCTTGATACATCATCCCAGGTTTACAAAAGATCGAAATTGCGAAATAACGTCGCTCAAATCAGTGTTTTAAAACACTAGCAGAAAAGACTACAACTGCTGTTTCGTGGATATTTGCATATTGTTTATCTTTGGAAGGGTTTAAATGATAACATCTTATCTGTATACTAACTCTGTTGTTGACGATTCTGATATAACGGGTGATAAGCTTCCAGTCGCAAACAATGCGTGTTTATCTAACGTTCATTATCAGCATTATTGTCAGTCGAGACTTCGTCGGAGAAACATGGTCATACAGTACCCATTTCGCCCAACCTTCCGCTTTTACATCGACCGTTTAATTTCCGAGCATGCGGTCTTGTCCGACCGGAAACCGACCGCATTTTAATCGCGTTTTTTTTTGGGGGGGGGGCTCGCTCGCTCATTGAAAACACTGACCGCTC